GGAGCCAGGCAAGCATGCAAACACAACCGGGTGCGTGCACACACACGCACACTCGCGTGCACTCACATGGTTGCACAACCTCAGATACACCCAGCCCAGGGGCTACCTGTCCCACCCAACCAAGGCACCTCGGCCATCTCCTTGTGCCTGCGTCACCCCTGGGTGCCCCGGCGCCGCACTCACCTCAGCGAGAGCGAGTAGTCATCGGGGCTGGTCTCGCAGTCCCGCACCAGGAAGCTGCCCTCACGGCACAGCGCCAGCAGCGTCTCGGCGCCCGCCCGCCCGATGGGGCCGTGGTACCACCTGCGGGTGGCCCAGCGTCACCCTCGTGGTACCACCTGCGGGTGGCCCAGCGTCACCCTGGCATCAGGGTGGCCAGCAGGGACCTTGGCATCGGGGCACCGGGTGGCCAAGGGCACTGGGGCTCTGGCTGTGCCATGGGGCTCCAGCTGTGCCGTGGGGACCTGTCTGCACCTTGGGGACCACAGGGCCCCACCTATGCCATGGGGCTCTGTCCACACCATGGGGACCCATCAGGGACACAGGGCACACAGCACGCCATGGGGACCCACCCATGCCATGAAGACCCACCCATGCCATGAAGACCCATCCATGCCATGGGGAAGAGCCCACTATGTGGCACCCTCTGAGCCAGGGGACCTGTCCATGCCATGGGGCACCCTCTGCACCATGGGGATCCATCCATACCATCAGGGGACCCTCTGCATCACGGGGCACCCTCCATGCTGTGATGCCCAGGCTGGATATCGGTGCCACCCCATGGAGGAGGGGACCCGTTGGTGAGGTGGGTCGGTACCCCTCAACTTACGCCTGCTTCTCCAAGGGCAGAGAGGGGTCCACGTGCCCTGGGCTGGGTGGGCAGCCTGGCCTGGCAGCCGTGGGGGACCAGGGTGCCCGCGGTGGCTCCCGGGGGCGGCTGGGGGAGCGTTCGGGGCTCTCAAACTGCACTGCGGAGGCAAAGGGGGTGTCACCTGCCGGCGCGGGTGCTCCGGCACCCCCGCGGGGGCTGGGGAGACCCAGCAGCCGGGGCTCTCAACGCTGGACCTCGAAGAACCCAGATGTCCCCACTACTGGTTGGCCTTGCCCTGTTGTCCCATCACACCCCTGGGGTGGTACCCATGGGTGCTGGGGGACTCCTGGGCTGGGACGTCCCTGGGAAGGTACCCAAGGGCCCTGAGGCACAGGGAGGGCTGGGATGTCCCTGGGACAGTACCCCTGGGTGCTGGGGGATGCCGGGACTGGGACGTCCCCGCAGCAG